CCCAACCCACAGCTCACCCCTGTGGTGAAGCAGCACCATGCTCCATTTTCATACACCCCCCCCCCCCCGCCCCGAGAGATTTAGGCTTTTTTACTCAAGCACCTCTTAATTTAAGACCAAATATAGCCTGCTGCAATATTTCCTATCAAACTTTATTGTTCGGCCACTGTACCAGCATATTTTATTTACAGCTCGACACCTCAGTCCGAGACTGACAGGAGGACTTAGCCGAATGTGAGTTTCGGCGGTGCTTCCCCCCCGCCGCGGTGCCGGGGGACGGGCTGCGTGGCACTGCCCCAGCTCCAGCCTTGCATAAATGAAGGGCTCCTCTGCTTTTGCCTCCTCAGCTGCCGAATCCATCCCATCGACCGTGGCACCCCTGGCCGCGTCTCCGCGTACACATCAGCCACAGCCGGGCCGTGACAAGTCACATGGGTGCAACAGAGTTAAACCTATTCCCAATTTACTTTTTAATGCAATATCACCAGAAAGGATTAGTTAAAGGCTTTGGGCTAGTCTACACATGAGGAAACTCGCTGTAAGGTAAAATGCTCTTGCCACTCAGGAAGAAGCGATTAGAGAAGTGCTGACTCGGCAAGGCTTTGCCCCAGGGGTGCCTGGGCTGACCTGTCCCCCCCGTGCAGCTCGTGCCTGGTCACCGCAGGCGTCTGCAAGTGCCCGAGGTGGATGGGGGAAGACGAGCCGGGGTAGAGCATGGCAGCATGGTGCTCCCATGATGCTCTCGCCTGGCAGGAGCGGCTCTTGAGCTGCTTGGGAGATCTCCTTCGTGCCGGGAGAGGAGAAACCCAGCTTCATGGAGGGTTTGGGAGTCAGCAAGGGGGCCCCAGTGTCGTTTTTAAGAGCCCCATTTAGCCAGATGCCGGGGGTGTGGGAGGAAACCCCCTGGGAACGGGGTGCGATGCACTGCCACCGTCATGTGGGCTGTTCCTGCTGCACCGTCACACCCTCAACATCAGGGTGGGACAATGTCAAGGGACTTTGGTGCCTAGAATTACTTATGAACAGATTGTTGAAGAGACAGGTTTACTTAATAAATAAATACAAATAACATATGGCAGGCACTAGCACGAAATATAGCAATATTCATGTTGTAAGGGAGGCTGTTGTCTAGGGCTTGGAGCTTTTGGCTGATGATAGTTTAACTTTATACGCTAAGGATATCTGCAAGCATTTAACCAGGCTGGCACTCGATAACGTGACTGATGGTGCAATCTGAAATTTCTTGAAGGGCATATTAGAAGCTACATACTCAGATGGATAAATATGTTAATACAGCGTACCCAGGGAGGTTTTGCCTCAGAATGACCAGGGACAGTAAAAGCGTGCGTTCCCCTGGTATCTGGGGTGTGGTTGGGGCAACCTTGGCCACGTTTCTGGGTGCCTGCCCGAGGCAGGTTTGTGCGTGTCCCCGGGAGCTGCAGTGTGGTCACTGCACGAGCTGGCCCCGCGTTGCCGACAGACGGCAGAGGGCAGGGGGAGGCGGGGGTGCCGGTGGACCCTGGGGAGGTGTCAGGGCTTTTCCCCTCATCTCTGCAAAGTTTCGTGCAGAGCGGAGGAGCTCTGCTTTGTCTATTTTTGGTAAAGCCTTTACCTAAAGCTTGGAGCTCTAACATTTGGCTCTGTCATACTAGCCAAAAAGAGAGTGAGGGAAAAGGAGGAGGCGATGGTTGGGTTTTGGGGTTCAGGTTGTCTCTGAGCTCCTGGGACGCGGCTTAGTCGGCCGAGACGGGCAGCGGGAGGAAGAGGATCGCCTTCTGGCCATAGTGAGTCCGCGGCCCCAGCTTGCTGTTCCCATTCTTCTTCAGACCAACAAACCAGTTCTTATCCGCATGCTTTTTGGAGACGTACGTGTTGTAATGGTTTTCTTCGATCCTTTCAAGGAACAGGCACTCCTCACCCAGTAACTGCTGAAAGAGAGCCCCGGGTGATGACAGTGAGATGGGGTGATGCCGTAGGGAGAAGGATGCATGTTCCTAACGCAGCGATCCGGTCAGGCTAGGATGCTATCCAGACCCGCCTCTGAGATCTTCGTGCCCCAGTAAAGTTCATATTTAAAGCGTGGAGGTAAGTAGCCTTGATTTAGTCCCCTGGGCTACTCCTACAGTAACTTGTCCATGACCTGGGCATTTTATGGCAGTAACCTGTAAGCTGGTCCTGGCACTGGCTCCTGTGCTGGCGCTGACCTGTGCAGTGGCAACTGCAGGTTTGGGGCATGAGCACAGGGAACAAAACAGCTCTTTGGTGAGGCTAAGCAGCCTGTGACCAGGATTACGTATCGCACACTTTGCTATAAATGTCTCAAAGAACCAGATTATTTTTGGTGACTCCATGCCCTACAGTTCCTGGGCACAGGGGGGGTAAGCTCCTGCCTTGCACAGTCCCGCTCGCACTGGGATGTCACGGATGCTGTCGCTGCCTCCAGCAACAGGGCTCGGTGCAACCAGGATACAGAGGAAAAATGGGGGGAGGTCTTTGCTCAGTGGCTGCGGGCCATTGCCTGGGGCTGCTAGCAGCCCTGAACCACCTCGCAAAGCCGTGGAGAGGCGGCAGGAGGCAGGCAGAGGTGGGGGCAAGGCGCTGCCGGAGCTGGAAGAGCTGGGCTGGAGGTGCACCTGCCCTGCACTGCCGGGGTCCCCCCCCGGCCCCGCTTGCAGAGCTGGCAGCTGCCAAGGGGATGCAAAGCAGCTGCTGCTCTAGATATGGAATATGATATTTGTCAAGTGTTTGAGGCAGGGTGGTAAATGGTGTTATTTGATTATTTATTTCCCCCCCCAAATAAAGCCGGCTGGAGAGTGGCTGTCCAGCTACCAAAATAACAAACAGAGGGTAATTGTTGCTTGTGGTTTGCATTACTCAGAGCTACGAGATTTCTGCAAACCTCAAACCCACTCCGTGTCTGGTCCCACATAAACCTCCTACTTACCGAGCCGTAGAGCAGCCCATTGGTGTCCATCGCCAGGTACTGCCCAGACTTGGTGCTCTTTATATACACCTCTCCCACGCTTTCCGCACTTAGCTGGAGTTGAACTGAAAGTAAAAATAAAACAACAACAAATGTAAAAGGAAAATAGGAAAAGGAAGAAAATAAAGGTTGTCAGAGATAATGTCAAGGCTGCTAGGAAAGTTAGCAGGATGGTTTTGTTCTGAAGCCTGGCTTATAAAGAGTTTATAAGAAACAGTACAGTGTGTAATAAAAGTGTCTCCTTGTACCCTCTCCTTCAAAGAAACCCCACAGCCATGTTTGAGGAAGCAAAGACCAATTTTTTCCTTATTTTACATCAAAGGAAGGGCAGCCTTTTGGTTAAGATGCTGGAATGGGACACAGGAGATTGGGGTTTTAATTCTGGCTCTAATTTAAAAATTTCTCATGTGGTTTTGACAAGACACTTAAGGAGTGACATATGAAGAAGTATTTTGAGAGCTAAACCAGGGACAGGCAGACTTCAGATGCCTGCGTTGCAAAACCCTGATCCAAAGCATCCCATCCAGCAGTGTGCCACGGCTGGCACGTTATCCGGCGCGTCGTAGGCGGATAGTGGAGAAATAGAAAGGGCTGATCTTCATCCTAAAAAATACCTCCCGGCGGTAGCCATGAGCCACATCTTAGATTGTCCTAGTTTGCAGTGCTAACGTGAATTTGATACTAAACCAAGATCTGAGCCTGCCAGCGCAAAGGCTGGGCAGGGGCGGTGGGTTCATGGTTATGCCGCATCTGGTCATGCAGCCCACGGTGCACTGGCCTTCCATCCCCATCACCGATGCTAGACTTCAACTAGAAACTCCGGGGCAAAAAAAACCTCTTTATTGGTCTTGTGCTGCGGGAGGGGAGCGGCTCAGCTGCAGGCTGGGGTGTCTGGGCCACCTCCCTCCTCTGCTCAGTATCCTGTACCTAACACAGCAGATTTAACCTTTCTATTTGTCTGGTTACATTTTTTCCCCCGTGGGTTTGTTTTTTTCTTACTTTGCTAATCACAGGAGTCTCGGAAAAATGATTAAAACTTGGCTAAAGTTCTTGTTAAACGTATTTATCAGGAAGAGGCAAGGGAAGAGGCCATTTGGTTGGAGAGAAGCTTTGGGAGGGCAGCTCTCTAGCACTGTGTGCTCAGAGAGGACCCCGAACTGCTCTCATGGGTGGGCAGGAAAACTGAAGTCTGAGCAATTAGCAGCCCTGCCAGCATGCACGGAGGGCTGCGGCTGTAGTCAGTGTGACTTGCAAAATCCAGCTTTTCCAAATGACCATTCCCATTCCCTACTCAGCTTTTTTTCCTGAGCTTATACTGTAGGGATTTGTAACAGAAATATTTAGATTGGTTTGAATGAAGTATGAACGGATGCCTCAGCTCCAGCTCCTTCCTTCTTTTTAAATTTATTTTATTTTATCCTTTTTTGGACGAGGTAAAAGGTAATGTTACCTCTTGGCATAGCGGAAGCCCCCGTCCCAGTGAAATCTTTGCTGTAATCGTTCACATTCTTCATTTTTGTTGTTTCCTGCTCAGTAAATGATGGTTAATTAGTAAATTGCGTGGGTGCAGATTTGCGGTAATATGCAATCCCAGTGCTTGCCTTGGTTGCAGCTGGGAGCTGCCAGCCGGCAAACCCCACAGCTGGAGAGCCCCCAGCCTGCCTTGCACTCCCTGTGGTGCTGCAGCCCCAGGACGTGGCCAAGGAGAAGTCCAGCCAGGAAAAGAGGGAAATGAGATAAAAATGATGATATTGTCCTAAAAACTGCCACGGAGAGAGGGGAGCGGGGGGACCCTCCAGCTGCCGATGGGGACGTTAAGGTCTCCGGCCGCAGAGGGAGGGAGAACGGCGGGTCCGGAGGAAGGATCTCATGTGCAAATTCTTGCATTTTTTACAGGTCTGTACAGATATTTCCTTCCATGAAGTAATGGGATGAAACAGAGAAAATAAGGCTGTTTGTGGAAACGAGCGTGGACTTCATCCTTGAGGGTCTACAATGTCCTGGTAAGTTTTCTTTTCATCTCACAGTGTAAACTTGAGATGCCCGCGGACGGCAGCAAAGGACACGGTGAGGGGATCCTTACACAGGGCTGGATGGGGAGTGCTTGGAGTGAGTGACTTCTGTTCTCCTTAGAGATCCTCCCTGATTCAGTGGCTAGCACCTGGCAAGGCGATTTAAGATAAAAATAAGAATTCTTGATATTTATCTGGAACAAAATGCACGTGGGCATGGGCAGTTTGCAAAGCACCAATGCAGACATTAATGCAGCTGTGCACGCTGGGTCCCGGATGAGCTGCGGGCGTTCCTGTGCCTCGTCCCTCCCCAGGGGCCTCTCTCCCCGCTGTCATCTCCAGGTTGCCCGTATGAATCTGGCTTGCTCCGCGCTGGCCGCTGCTTGTCCCAGCTGTGTAAGCAGTATCCCACGGCGGAGGTCACGGTCTGGGCTGCTCCCCTCATGCGCCGGGGACTTGTGCTGAGCAGCTCTGGTGTTTGCCAGGCGCAGGGGCAGGACCGTGGGCAGCCGTCGGTGCTCAGAGGCAGGGCACCTCGCCGGCAGGGCTGCTCCGCTGGCACACAGCCCTTCCAGGGGTTTCCTCTGTAAATATTTGTACGTTCGGATATCCAAATTTACGAGATCATTTACAGGAGGTTCCTTTCTGGCAGAGGTTTCCAAACACCCGGCCCCAGGCCAGCAGCCTGCGGAGGTGTGAGCGTGCCGGGGTGCAGCGGGTGCCATGCGCAGGAGTGCTGCCCGCGCTCGCTGCCTGCACTCGCTGCCTGTGTGCATGGTGCAGCGGTGGGGACCGGCAGCCGGAGGGGAAACGCTCACTCCAGGGTGACGGGCTCGCTTTGCCCGGGGGGGCGAAAGGCTGGGCTGTGTGGTGGCACCCGTGCCATGAGAGGGTGGGCTCGAAGCTGGGGTGGAAGGGCTGGACCCTTGTGTCCTCGTTAGCTCCTCATGTCCTGGGAGATGTCACCTTGCCACTGACTCTGCAAACCTGTGCTGAGCTCCCTAAGGCACACAGATGTGTCTGCGTCCCCATCCGACTCCAGCAAAAATCTCAGCTCTGGCAAAACGTTGCAGAGATGCCTGTTGAGCTTGTACGGCCTCTCCAGCTGCTGGCTTGTGGATCCTGTGAGCCTGGTCCTGTCTTCTGCAGATCCTTTGGGTTAGCATCCTCCTCTGCCTCTTGCAGGGGTTTGAGAAGGGTTACGTGCTGGGTTTATTCCAGGCTGGAGGCTGCCTGCCCCGCACTGTGTTTATCCAGCCTTGGTGAGCTCATCCTCACCCGTCCCCCAGTGTCGCCGTGTGCTGTGTGAGTGGTGGGGAAATGGCGTTTATAATTAAAACTCTGCTATAAACTGCCTATCATTAAAACAACAATAACAAGAAAGGTTAAGTTTGGGGGAGAAAGCCACATGTATGCTTGTGGTTTAAAGAAAATAAAAGTGTTTTTCTTAGAATTTGTAAGGCAGACTTGGCTCCTCCCAGCCCTTCTTTGTAACCAGATAGGAGCCTGGCAGGTCCCACTTATATTCCAGTAAATGTTCAGGATATGGTGTACCCAGAGCTTTCTGCCGAGAACCGAGAGCTCCGGCACACGGCGGTGAGGAAAAGCCCGGCCCTGCTGCCTGCAGAGCATTGCGGGGAGCTTTGCTGCGCTGCTGGTCCAGCTCTCCTTGGGCATTGGTTTAAAAAATCCTCTCAAGCATTTTGGGACTGCAAGAGCCCTAAAAGCTTAAACCTTCCCAACCGATTCCTTGGATTTTGTGTCCTTGTCCTTACACAGCCATTTTCTCTTTTGTCTGAGTGCCGGGGGGGGGTTGTTGCTCTGTGCAGCCTGGCCGGGCTCAGCAGGCAGAGCTGCCGAGGGCAAGGGGCTTCTTGGTGTCAGGGCCAGGTATTCAGCTCTCATCTAAGGGCTTTGCATGGCTTGGTCAAAGCAAGAGAGCCTCAGCACTGCACCTTGGCTCTGGTCATGTGAGCTGCTGGCAAGGAAAGAGCTCTCGACGCGTTTGGTGACATGGACAACTACTGAAAAAGACAAGCATGCACCTTTCCTTGCCATACAGGATAGTATTATTAATTTTTTATATTACAGTTTGCCCTACGTCAGATAGTCTGTTGCACTTTATAATAGTAGCATTTACAAAAAAGGCACTTTTTGGTGAACGCGTCCTGCCAGCTTCTTAGGATGAACTTTGATGCCAATTATGGAGAACGAACACGCTCCTAGAAAGGCAGTGGGATGTGCAAATGGTAAGATGAGCGTTGGTATCTGCGTGGGCAGTTCATCCCAGCAGCAGATCCCCAATGTCCCATGGGTTGGAGCTGCCGGCATCACCCACTGCAGGGAATGGGGATGGGCAAGAGGAGTCTCTGGCCACGGATGGCCCGTTAAATCTTTGTGACACACAGATGCACGTCAAATGTCTTGAAACTGCTTCAGCATACAATAAGCCATACTTGTTTTCAGGAAAAAAGTGAATGGTAACATGAGTGCATTTCTAAAGCCATAAGTCACAAAATAACTCTCTTTCACCTGATTCTTGCCTCTGTTGGGCTTTTGCATCCTGCAGGAATTTAATTTGCTGCGTAAGGGGGGGAGGGAAGTTCCCCAAAGGGAACACTGTCCCCCCAAGGGGACACTGTGTGCAGAACATACAGATAAAATCTGTTCTGCACGCAGAGGAATCTGGGCCCGACCTCCCGCCCTGGCTCACGACTTGACGTGCGAAGAGGCACAGCTGCAGTGTGCTGCTGGGAAACATTGGATTTGCACAGCCCACTATGGTGCTGAACCTTCTAAGCCAGAGTAAATGCAAAGATACCATAGAATTATGTGTGATGGCTGCGTGTGTGTAGGGTGTGAGGCTGCTCCTAAGCCTTTTTTTCCAGCTGCCAGCTTGCTGTGTAAGCCAGCCATGCTGCAATTAGCGCTTTGGTCCTGTATGGTCTGCCTGCCTGTGACTATTTTGATAACCAGTTTCACAAAATCATAGAATAGTTTGGGTTGGAAGGGACCTCTAAAGGTCATCTAGTCCAACCCCCCTGCAATGAGCAGGGACATCTTCAACCAGATCAGGTTGCTCAGAGCCCCGTCCAGCCTGACCTGGAATGTTTCCAGGAATGGGGCATCCACCACCTCTCTGGGCAACCTGGGCCAGTGCTTCACCACCCTCAGTGTAAAAAATTTCTTCCTCATATCTAGTCTCAATCTACCCTCTTTTAGTTTAAAGCCATTCCCCCTTGTCCTGTCGCAACAGGCCCTGCTGAAAAGTCTGTCCCCATCTTTCTTATCAGCCCCCTTGAAGTACTGACAGGCTGCAATAAGGTCTCCCCAAAGCCTTCTCTTCTCTAGGCTGAACAACCCCAACTCTCTCAGCCTTTCTCCACAGCAGAGGTGTTCCATCCCCCTGATCATTTTTGTGACCCTCCTCTGGACCCGCTCCAACAGGTCCGTGTCTTTCTTATGCTGAGGGCTCCAGAGCTGGAGGCAGTGCTGCAGGGGGGGTCTCACAGCTCCCTCGACCCCCTGGCCACGCTTCTTTGGATGCAGCCCAGGATACGATTGGCCTTCTGGGCTGGGAGCCCACATTGCTGGCTCATGTCCAGCTTCTCATCCACCAGTACCCCCAGGTCCTTCTCGGCAGGGCTGCTCTCAGTCCCTTCATCCCCCAGCCCGTATTGATACTGGGGGTTGCCCCGACCCATTTCAGATTTAATACTTCTGCAGATGTGAAATAGCGTACACACCGTGCCTCCCCGGGCTCCGCATACAGGCTATGGGTTTGTCTGGTCCGTGTGCTGGCTCCCGGAAGGCGTGTTGCCACCAGGAGGAAAGAGAGCCTGGTACAGAGCCCGTCTTCTCCAGCTCCCCCCTTCCTGGCTGATAAAGGCTGATAAAACCATAGGAGCAAGGAGGGGTGCTAAGAAGCCCTGTCGGGTTTGCTTACTGTGCTGGTCGCTTCGGTCCCTGGTCCCATCCACTTTGCCGTCCGGGAGGATCCGTAGGAAGTGGCCCCCGTTGCTGCAGTACAGGAGTTTGGGTTTCTTGTAGTTCCCCAGGGGAAGGTTGAACTTTTCGGTCAGGGCGGTGAAGGTAGTGATTTCCCCTTCGGCCATGTCTCAGCCTCTCCCGGCGGCCGGGCTGCAAGAGATGCGGTGGCGTATGGCAGGGGCGGCGGCACCGAGTGCTTGGCACACGCTGCTGCTGCCGGGCTTTTAAAGGGAGGGGAGGGAGCCCGGAGGTCGCCGGCCGGTACCCGGGCTGGCTGCGGGGCAGGTGATTCACACCGCAGATGATGGCCCCGGCAGTGACACAGCCCGAAAGGTGATGCTCCTCCAGCGTGGGAGGTGGGGGGGCGGTTGTCTCCTCACTGGGTGTAGTCGGGTGGTAGGGACTCTGTCCTTTTAATTTTATCATAGTAAATTCTGTTTTCTTTCTGCTTTCTATTGACGTGTGTACTAAAATTATACGCTCAAAAAAAAGTTTGAAAAACACCCAGTGTCTGAAACCCACAGGAGGCAGGAAGGGAGCCCAGGTTAATAACTCTCTCCACTATTATAACTTTCAAACACGATTATGACTAGGTATTGCAACACGTACTGCACGCCAGATAGCAAATATTACTTCATACCTTGGCACTCTGCATCTCACCTGGCCAAGGCACACGCATGCTAAAGATCAGAACAAACATTAGATATTGTGGGAGATGAGCAGGGGCGCAGGAGGCCGTCATTGCCTGGACGGTAAGCAGGAGATTTACTCATACACTGATTGATAGCATATGGAAAAAAGGAACTCTGAGTCTAGGTTATACCATGTTTGTGCACCCTTGCATCCCGATAAAAGTGGTTAAAAGGGAAAGGCAAAGCTCTGGCTGATGCAGAGGGTGTGACGGGGCATGGGGCACTACCAGCTGCTCAGGAGCAACAAGCACCATCTTGTGAGAGTGCTCCTTCCCGCGGGGCTGCTGTGCTCTCCTGGGGGACCGGGGAAATGCACCGAGACCGTATTGAAACCTCATTTTGCAATACACTGTGTGGTCACGATCCACGTTTAAGCAGACGCCGTGCCAAAACCTGAAGGCATCATCAGACCGATAAGAGAAAGATGCTGTGAATGTCGGAGGGTGAGAACTGCCATTGCAGCCGTGGCCGTGGGATCAGGAGGTGCTGTGGCCGGGTGTGGGTCGGGACCAGTGTCCCATGCGTAACCCGGGTATATTCAAATTTATCTGAATGTTTCTGGCCTAGGAACTGCATTTAAAAACTCCCATGAATATGCTGTCTTTCATATACGAAGTTCTGTAGTGCTTACAGAGAAGTGGATTTATGAACAGAAAAAGACAGGGCACAGTATAAATCTAGATACAGGAAATGACTTTAAATGTAATGTATTCCCATAGCTATATTATGGGAAGTATTATATAGTCACTGTTTATATATATTTATAGATTGTAAAAATGTCTATTTAGTACTGAGTTGTGCTACTGGTACATTAGGATGGAGCCGGTATCATACTGCGTGGGTTTGCCGTGGTACTTAAAGAGTGACCTGGGAGATATTACGGACTGCAACTCTTTGCGATACAAACACACACACACACACACACATATACATATGATCTCTAAACATTTGGCTGTAAACTCTTAAGTATGTAAATTTGCAAATGCAGATGCAAGGAGGGGAAACTATTCATTCAAGTGGATCCCAAAAGCCTGCAGAAGATAAAAATATATGGAAGTTGGATTGCTAAAAGCTGAAACCTTGGAAATAAAGACTTCATTGCTATTGCTGAAAACACACCCAGCCATTGCACCCAGCTTTGCTTAGTACATAGACTTCATCCCTTACTCTCAGACGTGTCCCCTTGGGGTCTCTATCAGAACAGAGAGATTTCCTAGGAGAGGAAAACACAACCGTAAAGGAAAAAATATTCCCTGTCATCCCAGGCCTCAGTTCCTTCTGGTAGCTGTTGGTTCACAACAGCTTCTCTTTCCTCCTGACTATCAGCCCGTGTTTTGCTGCAGATGGAGATATTAAATCACTAATACAACAGCTGAACATGGAGCCAAAATGCAGGGACATACTATTTTAAACTTTTCCCCTTTCTCCAGAACCATTTTGATCTTGTTTGCTAAGTCACATTTTCTGGACCAACGCCTACCAAGTGTTACTTTATCAGCCCAGCGCTTCCTCAGCTATATGCTGTTTTGCACTGGAGGCTGTTTTGGTTCTTATCTAGGTTTGAAAACCGTCCCCAGGCCAGCTTCTCCCCGTACTATGCCATCTCCCCAAAGCTCGCTTTTGCTCTGGAGCCATTTGCAAAGCCCAAAGTATCAACCTTTTCCCCAGGAGTCCCACCAAGTTTTACAGCCGCCTCTGCTGATACCCTTGCTTCTGAATCGCGCAAAAGCCGTGTCTGTCTCAGCGCTGGTGCGTTCAGACTTTGTGTGTTTGGAAGTGGTGAAGCTTCACAGATCCCCTGTTTGGCACAGACCGGGTTTTTGGGAAGTGCTTTCTGCAGGTGATAACACGGGCTGGCCCTGGTGTCCTGTGATGAGGTGGTGAAGCAATCCACGATAGCTCGGGAGAAGCTTTATGGTCCTGGTGGCTTTCCAAGGCAGCTTGTGGACTGAGTATAGCTTTGAAACCCTTTTTTAACACAGTTGTCAGGCAGCTGAAATTAGGTATTTCTCAGAATGTCTGGTCCCAAAATTTATTTTTCTGTCAAGAGATCATACTTTTCTTGTAGTAGTTCAGTTTTTAATGCCAACTGTCTGCCAAGCTTTCTCTGAAAGAAAGCCTTCAAGTCATCCAACGTGGTACATAAGGCTCTAGTGCTTTACTGAGCGTTAATCAAGATCAGTGGTATTGTGTAATTTACTGGAACTAAAGCTTTTCTTGAGCCTTTATAGGAGGGTAAAGGCACTTGGAAGTCTCCTGGGTTGATGATGGATAGAAGTGAGAAGCAAATATCCCAAAGCCTAGAGCTCAGATGACGATCTCAGCAAATTTAGGCTGCAGCCAGTGTGAGCGAGGAGCAGGCTGGGATGCTCCCCTTGGTCACCTGAAGGTCTGCACATTCAAGGGCATCTACGGATAGCTTTAACAGAGCCGCTCGACTGGAAATGGCTTCTTCATTTTCATGTTTCCTTTAAGGTTTTTTGCTATTTTTAGAATGCGTTCAGTGCTTGCCAGCTGCCTTTGACTCCACAAGAGAAGCTGAATGAACACTATTTTCCACTCCCATTGTCTCTCCTTGCTAAAGACTATTGCTGTTCTCATACTTTCATGACCGTGGAGTTGGTACTCTACACACACCACCACTCACGGCCCTACTATTATATTTTTGGCAGGAACATGTTAGGTTTTTATGGGAATTAAAAAGCAAGAGTGAGAGAGAGAACCTGAACCAAAGACAACATAAAGGGCCTTATTTTTTTGGGTAGAAGCCCAACAAAATGATTAAATAGCTCAAAGCGGAACAGAAAACTCTCTCCAAGATGCTAAGCTGAGAGATACCACACTCCAGCAGTTATTTGGTGCCCCATGGAGAAAGGAAAATATTCCAAGAGGAGATGATTGCTGTAAGAGGGGGACGGCTGCTGTGAGCAGTTGACACTGCCGGTCGCCCTAGGACAGTACATTGGAGCCCGAGTTGGAGAGTGTTTGTCCAAGCCTGGCTGTATTCATGGCTCTCCTCTTTCCTCCCACCCCTGCCTAACGCGCTCGTCCACTTCACTCCCGTAGCTTTCCCGTGCTGTGCTGCCGAAGAGAAAACCACCACTGAGAATGAATGGCATCGTCACCGGGAGCTGGACCCAGGGCATCTGCTCTGGGGTGGCCCCAGCTCCGTCTGCAGGCACAGGGAGCAGAGGGTCCCGCCAGCAGCCCGGTGGCACTCGGCTCTTCTTCCTGGGCTGTGGAAGGAGATTTCAGAACCCCAAAAGATCAGAAATAGCTTTCTGAAGGAAAAAAGGACTTAAAAAGAGAGTTAAACCCAAATGTTAATTTTAACCAGGTCCTACTGAACTTTGGTGGCTGGAGCGCTGCAGCGTGCGTGCTCCTTCCAGCAGCAAGGAGAGATGAGCCCAGCGCGGGACCGGAATAGCTGTGAAATTCTGAGAAGTTTGGGTTTGGTTCCAAACTTTATCACCGACCGCCACTGCTGCAGCAGCCAAACCAGCGGCTTTGATGTGAAATCTCAAACTCTACAAGCATCTGAGTCTGAACATCGAGGGCTGGTTACGTTGCCAATAACAGGCGAACTCTGTGTGAGCTCCAAAATAACAGTGCACGCTGGGGGCCATGGAAGAGGAGTGAGGTCCTTTTCCCTTCCCGTTTTAAAATCAATGCAGACTTCACTAGATAGTACTGTTCTCCCCTTTGCTTGCATTACAAAGGCGGTGTTGATGAGAGTTTGGCAACTTGAGAGATTGCTAATGGCCCAAAAGTTTTTTGCATGTCTGGATTGCCAGGTCACACTCAGACTGGGCTGTTTGTGGCTTCAAGGGTATTTTCATGGCTCTCTTGTGGCTCCTGTGACACAAATTTAGCGGCCAGCTAAGACTAAACTCCCATCCGTACCAGGAGCACCCCAGGTTTTCGGTAGCAGTCTCAGCAGAGGAGCCAAGCAGGGAGGAGCCATGCTGGGTCCCATGGGGCTCCCGGCAGAGCTGGGTGCACTCCAGGCACGTCCCTCTGCCCGGGGGACTGTCCCTGCAGTGGTCCCTGCTCCCCAGGGGAACTAACCCCCGTACCTTTTTCTGGCCACCCCTCTGTACACACGCAGTAGCTGGAGACCACGAGGATGGGAAGTTGTTGCTTCTCCGCTGGGGTGAACATCTTCCACTACCATCCACAAACCTCCATCCACCAGTCAAACTCGTTAGTAGCTTAATGAGCCATCTCGTCAGAGACTGCAAAGGTTACCCAGAGCAAGAGCGGTGAGGAACTGTGGGGAGACGGCGTCCCTTATCCTGGTGCTAAAATTTCTCTGCCTGTTTTTCTTTCCTGCCCATCTCTCCAACACTTCCTTTCCACTCCTTTTTCTTTAGACTCCTCCTGACTTGTTTGAACAGATCTGTTTTCCTGAGATCAGTTGCAGCAATTTTGCACGTTCGTGAAAGCAGATTGCAGGAG